CTAAGCAAACAATAATTGTGATAAGTAAATGATACATTGCATCAGCCAAACGCTGCCTTTCTCTTATTGGGAGCAAGAAAAATTGAAAAGCGAAGAATTTTCACCGTTGTCTTTTCTCTAGATATTCCCAGCTGAATCTCCATCCCATCTCACCTCCCAATCCACCACCCATAGGCTCCAATCCCACCAAGATTCTATCTTTTTCTGCCTTTGGAATTGCATCAGCAAGCAGCAGCCCACCACTATATCATGATCTCTGTCCAATATTTCTTGCACATATTTAATTAGTGGGTTAAACTTGTGAAGGAGATGTACATACATACACCCGCAAAGTTGTGATCTTAATATATATAGATACCTTAGATATTTTGCAGAAAAGTTTAATCTTTGGACACCCAATTGAGATTGATTTCGTGGGGTGGTTGACTGGTTGTTATGGGTTTTCTTTTTGACACGCCAAAAAATGGTAGTGGTGTTGGAGGTTTAAGGAGTCTTGTGAGGAGAAAACGGGTGGATTCTGCTCATTCTAAGTCATCATCTGTCTCAGGGACTGGTCACAATCAATTGGCCAAGGCTTTAACTGTGCCTCATCTAATTGCCATAGGTATAATTTTTTTTTTCTTTGTTTATATAATTCGCTTTGAGGATTTTTTTTCTTCATTTCTGCTGTTCAATATATAGGTTTCTATACAGTTTTGTTGCTTTGATGCTTTCATAATCTGTAGCGTCCCAGAATGTTTAATTATATGCCTTCTGTCGCCTGATTAGAATTTCATGATCCTCTTGAATCCTTCATCCACTTCTTTCCTTATTTATTTATTTGAGCTTTATTTCTGTATTTCATTTATGTTTTAAATGGGAAAATAAACCGTATAAACTATTGGGTTTTAAAGGTCTGTAGTAACTGTAGAATGCGTATTATGCATTGAATTTGTCCTATAAACAAATCATGGTTAAAAAGTTGATTGGCACGTATTGTGAATATCTCAATCTCTGGTTTCGTGTATTTTTGCTGAATTTTGTAGGGGTTGGTTCAACGATTGGTGCTGGAGTTTATATTCTTGTTGGCACAGTTGCAAGGGAGCACTCAGGACCAGCCCTTACCTTTTCCTTTCTAATAGCTGGTATAGCAGCTGCTCTTTCTGCTTTCTGCTATGCTGAGCTAGCGAGTCGTTGCCCATCAGCTGGGAGTGCCTATCATTATTCTTACATTTGCGTTGGAGAAGGGTAATATTTAAATTCCGTCTTGTCGTGGGGAGATATTTTGTATTGTATAACATGCCATCTTTTACTTCCGAAGAGGGCCACCAGCTTGTTGACATGGAGATTGTGCAAAGTAGGATCAATAGCATTGTGGAGATAAAACATAGTTTGCATTAGTTTTGGAGGATAAATCATCAAAATTAGAAATTTTGAAAACCATTTTTTGATTTAATTATAACTCTTCTAAAAGATAATTGCGAGCACCAAATTCGGTGCGAACAAACCTAGCCTTAATGTTTCTTTGCTTATACAAAAGTATGGCTCTGGAGGAATAAGAGGAACTATTATTGCCACATCTCAAAACCAAGCGTTCAGTTTGCTGCTAAATATCACGACTTGATTGTTTTGATTAAGCTTTCAGATATTCTTTGGTAATTGACTTCAACTCCTTGGATTGCATGCAGTGTTGCTTGGTTGATTGGTTGGGCGTTAATATTGGAATACACTATTGGAGGGTCTGCAGTTGCTCGTGGCATATCTCCAAATTTGGTGCTGTACATTTCTCTTATATTTAGCCATTTTATTAGGTCTCTTTATGTGTGTGTGAGGATTCATCTTTTATTTTTAAGGACATAAATAAGCTAGAATTTGCTTTTCTTTGCCTTCCATAATCGCAGCTTCTGTCTTCCTTGCTTTTCAATCTATATTTGGTACTGCATATCTTCTTCTGCATAATGATGTTTTAATTGGCCAACTTCCAAGCCTTTGAATCTCGATCATCCATTTTATGATATCCATTGAAGTCATTTGTCTTCATTTATAATGCTTAGTTTAGCCCTGTTTGCCAGTTGATTTTATTGGAATTAAGAAATGTCTAATGGTCGCTGCATTTATATATATACTATTTTTCCAACAGGCCTTACTTTTTGGAGGTCCAGATAGTCTCCCTTCTTTTCTAGCTCGTCAGACCATCCCAGGGCTTGATATTGTGGTGGACCCATGTGCAGCTATCTTGGTGTTTGTAGTCACCGGGCTTTTGTGTGGGGGAATCAAGGAGGTATCTTTTCTCAACATGTTTGTTTCATTGAAAAAAAATGTTCATCTCTCTGACTTTGTCTTTACTTGTAAATCTCAAAACGTATGTTCTATAGAGTGCATTTGTTCAAGGAATTGTGACAGCAGCAAATACTTGTGCCATGATCTTTGTCATCATAGCTGGTGGATATTTGGGTTTCAAGACTGGATGGCCCGGCTATGAACTTTCTGTTGGGTAATCATGGTTTATCATTCTTGGCCATTTGTATTTTATTTGCTCCTGCATCCTTTTCATCAATTTATTATATGCTTGTGAGCACGAGAAGTTTCATTCAAAGAGACTATTTTCCACATTTAGATATTTTCCATTCGGGGCTGATGGCATGCTTGCTGGGGCATCGACTGTTTTCTTTGCATTCATTGGGTTTGATTCGGTTGCTAGTACTGCAGAAGAGGTTTGTGCCACTGTCCTCCAAACCGTTTTCAATTTTTAGAGATGTATGGTAACGACTGAAGCATACTTGGCCCAGAGTTAAAAAAAGTACTTCTTTTCTTTCTTATGAGTAAAAACAGTTACTTAATTTGAAAGTAACTCTCACCTTATAACAAGATGGTAATTTACTTATCTTCAACTTTGATTGATAAAAAAAGTCATTTATTGAAATACTAATGAGCAAACTTATAAGATAACTTTTGAAGCTTATCCTAACATGTTGCGAGATTTTGAATCTTGAACATCCCCATCTGACAGGTAAAAAATCCCCAACGAGATTTGCCAATGGGTATTGGTATTGCACTGTCTATATGTTGCACGTTGTATATGTTGGTCTCTGCCGTAATTGTTGGTTTGGTGCCATATTATGCGATGGATCCTGACACTCCCATCTCATCTGCATTTGCTAGCCACGGAATGAAATGGGCTGCGTAAGTAAATGCCCAGTTTCATAATTAACTTTATTGAGATCTCCTGACTTGAGTCATTTTTTGTGATATGTGTCTTCTTATTAATTTTACCCATTTACTTTTCAACTCAGGTACATAATAACTGTTGGAGCTTCTACGGCCCTTTGCTCAACATTGATGGGTTCTATCCTACCACAGGTAACCAATTATTTTAGATAGAACCATAAATGGTTTCCCATATGTTCAAACTGACGCGGCTAGTGAATAAAATGATATCAACTGCATTTCTGATTCATGTTTACTTCTGCCTGCAAAATCACTAAATCTAACTTCTAAATTAGTCTTAAAAAGTTAAAAGAGTTGTTGATACTTAATACCAGCATATGAAATTAAGTTACTTTTATCAGATCAAAATGTCTTCTTCTTCCTTTTCTATCACCACCTCCTGGAGTCTCCCTTTATGACTGACGTATGAAAAATTTCTTCATCTTATATGTACCTCAGCCTCGAATACTTATGGCAATGGCTAGAGATGGATTGCTGCCATCGTTTTTTTCCGATGTCAATAAACGAACACAAGTTCCTGTGAAGAGCACTGTAGTTACTGGTTTACTGGCTGGAATCTTGGCATTCGTCATGGATGTTGAGCAGTTGGCAGGCATGGTATGTTCATTTTTATTGTTCATAAAAGCTATGTACCTGAAGTACTACATATTTCTGATGCTACTCTATCTTTTGTTGGAACAATGGGTGCCGAAGTGTTGCTTCACACATTTTGTTTTTTCATGTTCCATTCTCCCTCCCTCGACTTCTTTTTTATTAAATGGAGAGTTTTTCAGTGATAATGGGGAGAAACCACGTTACATTTCATATTACTTGAATGCTCTATCTACTTATTGATGTGCATGTCTCGGTGATGATATTACTCCTGTTAGAATAGTTAAAAATCAAATAAATTGTGTAGAAATTGGAATCTTATTCATCTGTAAAGTTCTTTCTCAAGTTGCTGATAGCTTTGTTACACATGCAGGTTAGTGTTGGTACACTAGTTGCCTTTACAATGGTTGCAATTTCTGTGCTGATACTGAGATATGTTCCGCCAGATGAGGTTCCACTTCCACCTTCTTTCCAGGATGCAATAGATTCAGTTTCTGTGCGGTATAGTAGCAGTAGTTCTAAAGAAGTCGATGTGGAAAACTCAAAAGCCGATGCTATAATCTCAAGTGACAGCATTCCACTTTTAGTTGGCAAGAAAACACCTGTTGGATATCCTCTTATAGAGAAAGCAGCTGCCCGGTACAATTGTAAGTTTATCTTATGATAGAATGCCTTTTTATGATGTACACTAGTGTATGTTGAAATAATGGGAAAAAAAAAATAAAAAAATCCCTCCTTTTGTTTTGTTTTCTCCTCATTTGGGAACCAAGCAAGGGTAGGGAAATTATCCACACTCTCCTCTCTCCCATTTTCTTTCCAAGCCAAACATAGCATTATCATATGAGCTTTTCTTCGTTGATTACCTTGTTATCAATATTTACCTATTTTTTTCTTTGCTTATCATGCCGTTTTAGTGAATGAAGCCAATAGGCGGAAGATTGCTGGCTGGACAATCATGCTTACATGCATCGGAGTGCTTGTACTAACCTCTGCAGCTTCAAGCGTGAGCCTTTATAGGTGGGTGGTCTACTTTTATGGTGATAGATTTTGGGATTGGCTCTGTGAGAGAGAGTGTATTGTTGATTAAAATTGATGCTTTAATGTGATAAGAAAGGCCAATGGAAGCATGGAATTTTACCTTTAGGCTACGCTTGCACACCGGATTAGACCGAACAAGAATTTTTGCATAAAATTTGAGCTGATAGTACTTGGTATATAATATTTAATTGGATTAAAGTGGAGTGTATTTATAAGTTTTCCACTCAATATCATATCCGGCCTAAATCCACCTCCTTACTCCGTATTATGTTATCTAGTAAGCTTAAGGAAGATGGTAAATAATGTTCTTTTGAATGAAAAGCTAATATAATTTATCCTGCCTACTACTATCTACATAATATGTCTACTCCAATTTCATACTTAATTCCTACTATGTTCTAATTCGATGTACCAAACACAACCTTAGAGCATTAATTTATGTAGTGTGCAATATTTTCCTTACTAAACATTTCTGAACCTAGAATCTTTTATATAAACCATGTTCTAAATCTCTGTTCTTCAATTATTACCAGCTCCCTTCGATTTACACTTTGTGGAATCGGTGGCATTCTCCTTTTATCTGGTCTAGTATTGCTCACCTGGATCGACCAAGATGATGCAAGGCATAACTTTGGGCACTCGGGAGGTATTCTTTCTTGATGTACTAGTAATCATGATTTTGATGAGTATGTTGTAGCTTAATAGTACAACAGCACTAATTTCATAAATCTATAACATGTTTGGTAAGGTGGACTATATTAACAAACCAAAAAAAGTAAGATTAAGTTTATTGAATGTCTACTCCTATCCATTACTGCGTAGTGAACAACTTACTGATGTTTTTTGAGGTGGAATTGATAGTAGTAGACAATATTGGGGAAGAGAAAGAAGCTAACATCTTGTTCATTGTATTGTTCGATTCTATCGAGTATTGTGTAACAAACATGCGTTAGTGTCCCCGCCATGATCACACATTTGATTGACTCTTTACTCTTAAGCTGTTGGATTTTGGGTAGTAACTTCCTGCATAGGACCGTTTATGTCAGCTTTGCATAATGCATAGTCTCTTGAATTTAGTGAGAAACTCTTTCGATTATAAAAAATCTTGGAATATGTAGGAAAATTGTTGGGATTTCTTTGAATGATGATCATCTTGTTCTCTGTTTAGGTTTCATTTGCCCATGTGTTCCACTGCTACCGATCGCCTGCATTCTCATCAATGTCTACTTATTGATTAATCTCGGGTGAGTATGTAGTCAGTTTATCACCTGTTTGATTGATCACACTTCCCTTCTGACATTATTAATATAGTCCCGTTTATTAGCCCGATGAAATATCTGTTTCCACACGTTCACATTTTTATGTTTACTGTTCCTAAAGGCAGAGCTAAGATGCTCTGAATCGTGCTGTCGATAGATTATTTTACATGCTCATATGTCATGGTAATAGCGGACATGTAAATCTTCTTGAGTTACTCTTTTTCCAATAGCTTCTCATATCATTGATTTCTGCATATTTAGCTTTGGGATTGCTCTTACGTGTTTCTATCTATCCGAAAATACAGAGGCTCTACTTGGACCCGTGTATCAATATGGTTAGCCATAGGAGCAATAGTTTATCTTTTCTATGGCCGGAAGCACAGCTCACTGCGAGATGCAGTCTATGTTCCTGTAGCCCACGTTGACGAAATCTACCAAAGCTCAAGAAATACTCTGTCGTAATTCTTTATAACCATTCGGGTAGAAAACTATCCAAGCTGTAGTAATTAGTTTTCTTATTCGATGAACGAACTGATGAAGTACGACTTTTTAGCCTGATCTTAGGCTGCAGGTTTGTGTGGATAAAGATACCATTCGTGTGTTTCATGTCTCAGAAACACTCATATTTCTATTGTAATATGTGATCTTTTACAATGTCGAAAGCGGACTAAGAAAGTGAAAATGAAAACTTGTAAATATTTATTTTTTTCGTGTCTGGTCGGCCTGTGACAATATAGTACTTTTGTAACAACATTGTAAATTATGTGTGATCTGGAAGTTGATTGAACTTTTAGGACCTTATACTCTGAACTTCAGCCATTGTGTTTTACTTTTATCTTGTGTAATACTTGCTTTTACCAAAAGAATCCATTTGATATGTTGTTAAATTTGAGTTGAGATCTGCAGTTCAAAATTGACCGTCTAACTTATTGTCCATCCAATGATTCATTGACACATTATTTTTAATTAATATGTCTAATTTTTCTCTTACTGCCACTTGTGTTTAAAAATAAGTGTAAAATAATGGATCAATGAATTATTAGGTGAACAACATGTTGGACAGTCAATTTTAGACAGCAAATTTCAACTCGTTAAATTTGACTTTTTCTCTCTTAATTATGAATGAATGAGGTTTCTTTTTTGTTTTGTTATTTTTTTTAAATATACATTAAAAATATTTATTTAAACTTCTTTTGTTTATAATCAAACTAGGGTGAATTATACTGTAGGTCCTCAACCGTTCTAGTTTGTTGCAATTTTGTCCCTATAATAGCACGTGGCATCCTTAACTCTTGTTACTTGATGCAGATGGTTCCTTTTGTCGACTTTTGTATAAAGTTTCCATTAATGTTCTGTAACTTAAATAAATTAGAGAAGGAAAAAAAGAATCGCTAACCCGCTTCACGTGCAATCACTATCCCACCATCATCCCACCACTTTATAGTTTTCGCTTTCGTAGGAGGCGCAAAAATTCGGGAGAAAACCCCTTAGTCTTTTGGAAACGACAAATTGTTTTTCTTCCTCATTTTTAATATACCGGTGTACTATCTGAGCGAATAAATGAAAGGTTGGAGATAACACGTGCTATAAAATATAATTAGGACAAAGTTGCTCAAATTTGAAAGATTAGGGACCTATCGAAAAAAAATTGAAAGTAGTTTTTCTAATTTTAACCCAGAAGTAATGTGATGAAAGGTTTTATTTCATTATTTCATCTAAGTTATTCTATTGATGTTTAATCATTATAAGATAAAGTCCTTCACTTGCTAATCTTGCAACCAATCCCAGTAGCAGTAACCGCCCTCCCTCGTCCGCCGTAATGAGCGGCGCTTCCAGGTTTGTGACACTACTCGCCCTACCCTTTCCCTCTTTCTTCCATCCTCTCCGTCCCTCCTTCTTCCTCCTCCGCCGCCGCCTAACCACCTTTCCCCTCCGCCCCCTCAGTCTCTCCTCCCCCAAATCCAAGTCCCAAACACCACAAATTCTTCCCCTCAACTCCACTCAACAACAGCACTTTCACTCCCAACCAGCTAACAATACCACATACTCACACAACTCTTCTCAACACCACAGCCACCCATGGCCAGAGTGGACCCATTTTATCAATACTATCTCTCTCTCCTCCACCCCAAATGGGCAGGGAGTTACTGTACCTATGAACCATGAAATCCTTCTTGAAGATGCTTTTGTTGTGTACGAGGAATTGTCGGAGGATTTTGTCCGTAACGCCGCCTACTGCTTGGGTTTCGTTCGGGACCGCCCCAATCTTCTTGGGTTTGATTTCTTGTCTTTTATTTCTAAAAAAAAAAATAATAAATCAGAATTTGAAATGTTAAACAAGTTACAAGAATTTGAAATTTTCCTCTGTACCTCTTTCTTGGGCTAGCTGCAATTTGTTGTATTTTTAAGTATATTTTTGTGTTTAATTTTTGTGAAAATGGTACAAGAAGATACTGTAACTGGATAAATAGTGTTATAGAATTTTTATCTTATTCAATATGCTTCGAACTTTGTTCCTCAGAATTTTTTGCTTTATATTGTGTTGTATCTTACTTGAGAACTGAATTTTATTAATGGGAATTAGTAATTGCCCGAGTAAGTCATGAATGATGAATCAAAGTTGTGATATTTCAGTGCTGTAGTACTATATTCTTTGAAGGTTGTGGCTGATTATCAAGCCAACATACTTTTATTTATGATCCACAAATTTCATTTTATGTAAATTGAATCGAAGATTGATAATGGCACCTCTTAATAATTCTTTTTTTGTTTGATAGCAATTATCAGAGCATAGAGTACTATATGGTGCTGTCGCCTGTACCGTGTGCTCCAGATTGTACCTTTCTTTACCAGAATGATGAACATTTCTTTTGAGTTTGACCCTTAAATTTGGATGATTTATTGATTAAATGCAGATTGCTTTCGAGAAGGGAAATTGAGGTGGTTGTATCAAATGGGACACCATTTCTGTTCAAGGGTGCGCTTGACACTGCAAGGAGAATGAGGAAGTTTTTGGGAACTGATGGAGGCATGGTAAGTCAAAGTGATACTGTTCTCTTTTAAAACTTAGATTTTTGCATTTGATTGATATGCTTTCTCCTAGTTACACAACATGTAGTGCTAGACTGTCGAATTTTGTATAGAGGAAAAGGTCGTCTTTTTGCGGCATGTTGAGCTAAACAATGACTTAATGGATTTCTCAGAGCATTTTTTGCTAAATAAATAATTTAGAGTTACTTATTTGAAATTTAGGTAATAAATACTTTTTAATTTTTCTTACTTAAAAGTAATTAAGTAACATATCAAAACATGCTTAGAACAAAAGTTTTACTCTTTCTCTTTTTTGAAGCTTAGTCTAACATGGTTTTTTGTATTTTTGGTGTGGAACCCCAGCCCCTGCCAATTAGCTACTAGGCCATTGCTTGCAGTAATAGTGGGGTTATAAATTATCTTTTGTGCTTTTTGGTTATGATGATGGATAACTGTAGGTAAGCCTTAATTTGACAGGAAAATCCCTGTATACAGAAAGGAAGAAGAAACAGAGGTGTCTTGCTAATAATTTTTTTAATACAAATGCTCTGATAGTTCCTTTTTATGTAATACTACGTGCTTAATATAGGAATTGAGGCTGCATGTTGTGATTATCTTTGACTATTCATAAATCTGATTTAGGGTCTGGCTGTGGATGCAACTTCCAAAACCTTCCAGAGATTGATAATGTTTATTGTTTTGAAATACTTTGGTACTTTGCTAAATCCACGGTTGTTAATAATTTTGCAGAATACAAGATTGAAAATTAATTTACAGCAACAATCTAGTCAAACATAAAGAAATGCAGTAACTAGCTCAAACTTGATGAGTTATGGGGCTGGAGACAAGAGCCAAAGAGATAACCCAAATCACGTTCTTTTAAAAAAAATTGCAACGTATTATTTTTTTATAGGTTGAAATTAGCGCTAATATTTATTCAATTTGTCCTCTTTCGGTATCAATTGCAACTGTTTTTTTCTGAACTCTAGGTCTTGGAATCTGATAAAGCAAGCATGGTTGATCTTATGAAGTATATCCTAAGTTATGCAAGCAATCCATCTCTTTCATCCGAAAGAAATGGCCTCTACAGTAAGGAACTTGTGGAATTGTCTGTTCGGAATCTGTTGCATGAGCTGGGTAAGTTGAGCAGTGGACCTCCAAATATGAACATGCCTGCTTCTGAAGAGCAGTTCCCAGGTGGCTATGGACAAACTTCAAGACCCCTTAAACAAAATATTGAAATGAAGAGAGGCGACTGGATATGTCCAAAGTATGTATATTTCATGTCGCATTCGCCAATTCCTTGGGTTTCTTTTCATCTGTGCTGCATTGCTTGTGCCATTTTGCAGGCACGAAATAGATATGACTGTTTAAATATGGGGGAGAATTTGTGTGCAATTCTCTTATGTTAATCGATTGTTATTTTAATAGAACATGAGTTAAAAAGGAATTGAAAGAAAATGTTTTCTATACAAAGCTGTCAACCAACTCCCATGCAACCAAAAGAAAAATGGGGAAGAAGAAGATGAAGAGGCGTGCCTGGGGATGGATGGTTTAAAAGGAAAAGCAATGAAATTTTCCAGAATTTTGTGATGCCTGCCTTTGGTGAGAGAGGAAAAAAATATTCAGTTCGCCTCTGTTACGAATATTGAATTCAAACCTACAAGTTTCTCAAACGTAGTCGAAAGTATTTCTCAAATGTAGTTGAAAGTATTTGATGCGCACAATCTTGCATTCATGCCGTAGTCCACTTTGTGCCAATTCCCCGTGCACAGGAGCATTCTTATTTAATATTGGATTTTCAAGAATTGTCAGTAGTATTATGGCAATAGAACTTTTCCTCATTTATTCAACTATGATCTATACTATGCAGGTGCAATTTTATGAACTTCGCAAGAAATGTTAAATGTCTTGAATGTGAAGGACCTAGGCCAACAAGACAGCTGACTGGTGGCGAATGGGAGTGCCCTCAGTAAGCATTATCTTGTATTTTCTTTATGCTCAAGTGATTATGCTAATGAAAAAGAAGTATTGTATTACTATTTTCTGGGGTATGGCAGATTTTTACTTTCATCTTCATTGCAGATGTGATTTCTTCAACTATGGGAGGAATTTAGTTTGCTTAAGATGCGACTGCAGACGACCTGGTGTGGCATTGTCCAACACTGGTGACACTAGATCGGGATCCGGGCGGCATTGGGATTTCACATCCAAAACTAACACAGATAGCCTGTTGGCTGCGAATGAAGAGAGAGCCCAACAGTGGTTTAGTAAAAATTCTCAGATAAGTAATGTCTCTGACGGAGAAAATCTGTCTGTTGTTAGCACTAGGAATGCACCCTTGGAGAGGAGGCTGGCTAGCTCTCAAAATCAGACTATGGATAAGGGGTATCCTGAAGGTGCAAATAAGGCCCTTGATACATCAGTCAACCGTAGTTTGGACCAGATTCTTGGTCGCTCGTCTAGAGTTTCTGGAAGAGAAGATAAAGGCATCGTTTCTGGTGAGACAACAGATATCTCTCCTCCAACTCTTCAGTCGGGGTCTTCAAGTTATCGAAATTCCCAGGAAAGAAGTTCCAAGTACATTCCATTTGTTCCGTTACCTCCTGACATGTTTTCAAAGAAGGATCAAAATTCGAAGATAGAGAATGGGGAAAAGGTTGGGACGGAAAGCTATGTATCAGACTCATCAGAGGTCAGTAATCAAAGTAGTTCAACTGTCGGCAGCGAGTCCCAGCACTTAGGGGAGATTTTTCAGTTCTCGAAAAATTCAGCAAGTGAGCCTCCTAGCCAGGGGAAAGAGAAAGAACAAACTGAAAAGTCAGAAATATGGTTTAAGAAGATAGCCAAGTTACATGATTCCAAAGATCTACCGAGTGCAATTTCAGACAAGGATTTCCCTGAGATTATGCCAATGCGCAAGGGAGAAAACCGATTTGTCGTTAGCAAGAAGAAAAATCATTCTTTGACTTCACCGGCATACAAAAGACAGGTAGCAGTGGATCAGGCAAATAATACTAATTTTGTCCCTTTTGTTCCATTCCCTCCTGACTACTTTGCTAGGAAGGACACACAGCAGCCGGATGGCGCTGATTCATCCACAAATTCGAGCAGTGAATCTTCTTCCTGTTCAACAGCCGAGAGCTTTTCTGAGAAGTTGGATGGGCCAAGATATAGCGTGTCAGACACAAATACTACGTTGAGAAAAGTCGACCAACTGGCCAGTTCTGTTAATTCCAAACTTTCCCGTGATTATGTGGCTTCTCCCAGTGAAAACCCTAAACCGAACTCCTCAGATCCCCAGACTACCGTAAGTGATAATCAGATGGATAAATATTCTGGGAAAGGGGATGCCCCTCAGTTTTTCCAGCCAGGGGCAGCGGCAGGTTCTCCCAAACCATCTGAAAATCATCAAGTTCGAAGTGGTTGGACAGGTAAGAGCTTGGAGGGATCAGCCGTTAAGGAACCTGACCCTTTGGACATGTCGGAAGAGGCCAAAGCGGAGAGATGGTTCAGACGGGTGGCTCAGATAAAGGATATTTCTGAGCTGAGCCAGATCCCTGATGAAGACTTCCCATCAATAATGCCAATGCGGAAAGGAGTAAACAGATTCGTTGTTAGCAAGAGGAAGACACCACTCGAGAGGAGGCTAACATCTCAGCAGTATCGTAGAAATCTTCCGATTGTGAGATCTGATCCTACAAACAAGGAAAACAACAATAATTAACGAAAATAAGTTCTTATATTTTTTTAATCTTCCCCTTCGATTTTGAGGAAATATATGTTCGAAAATTTCACTCGTCTTAAGGGAATCGAGCATTTTCTCTGCGGATGTAAACTCAAAATTCAATGTATACACACTTCTGAACTAGTTTTACTGCTGCAGCAGAGATAGGTTGCATCTTTTATAACATCAATCATATTCGTTTTCGTACGCAGAATTCATCGTTGGAAGTTATTTAACATTGTTAATAAGAAATTTAATATAAGTTAATAAGAACTATATTTTTCTTGTTCTTGTCTATGAATTTCAGCTTTTTTCAAGGGCGTTTGGTTAATCATCACGACCATGATTCACCAAACTATCAATTCCTAGGTGAAGTGAGATTTTCTGCATCCATCTTCTAGGCCTTCACCTCTAATGAAAAAAAAAAAGAAAAGAAACTTATTCTGTCGTGGCCTGTCTCTAGTCATCATATCATTAAGATATCTAGCAAGCTCACCATCATATTCGACATCACTCTTTGAATGAGATTTTACAAAATCACTTTTCTGACCCACTCAAATTATATCGTCATAGACCTTGGGTAGAAAGGTGTGTCTCTATCTTGAATTTGTAAGCATTACCTGTCGTTCTTGAAGTCTTTTTGCTAGAACTGTTCAATGCAAATGGCAGACTAGCTTGCTTGCATAAACACCCCGCTTGTATATTCCTTCTTCATCTATTACTTGCTTTTTAGGGCAGACACTTTTTTTATGAGAGTTTCACTATGAACGACATAATTAGGGAATGCTATTTATATATGTTGATTTTGTGGAGCGAGAATACTTTGTGTTCAAGCTGTACCAGTTTGTCCAATTGTCCTATCACTTTAGCTAATATGATTTCATTTAAAGTAAATTACACATTGTATCGATTTTTAAAAAAAGGTATTTAAGAAAAATAAAATAAAATGGTCTTGTGACTCTTGTCTATGAAAATAAATCTTAAAAATAGTCCTCAAAACAGCCTTAGGCTTATACACACTCTTAGAAGTTGCATTTAGCATGGTATCCTCTATCTTCAATGGCTTAAAAAGTCCTCTTTTATTCATGTTGCATGCTACAAACCTAGGGAGATTTTGCAAAATGACCTATAAATAGTGGCTTTTTAAGATTTTTGTTAAAAAGTCAGTTTTACCCTTAATGAAATGGGTCATTTATTGCAGATCAAGTCCTCAATCCTTATAATTTTTTCGAAATTAGTTTTATTCTTGTTTTTATTCATCATCACTAGACGTTTCTTCTAAATCTGATTTTTCTTCAAATATTTCTTCATTTACTTCTATTTCTTCAATATCAACTTCTTCACATTCATCTCTAATTTGTTCAAAGTCCGTAATTAATATTCTAACTTTCTTTTTTGGGCATTCAGTGCTAATATGACCTTCTTCATTGCAATTCCAACATTTACATCGTTTTTTATCTAATGGTTTTTTATTATAAGGTTTATATTTTCTTCTAAAATATTTTCTTTTTGGTTTAAAATATTTCTTTTTAAA